AACAGCTGGTCGTAGGTCGTAACAGCTGGTCGTAGGTCGTAACAGCTGGTCGTAGGCCGTGACAGCTGGTCGTAGGCCGTAACAGCTGGTCGTGGGTCGTGACAGCTGGTCGTAGGTCGTGACAAATGGTCGTAGGTCGTGACAGCTGGTCGTAACTGGTCGTTCTCTCGCCTAATAGGACGTATTAATCGAGAGAACGTGTTACTGATCTATTAAACTGTTTCAGTTAAGAGAGCATCAACTGGGAGCATCAGTGCCTAATATATAATACCAACATGAATATTCCGCCATATAGACGTCTTGGATGCTTCCGCTTCGATTGACATTTACGATTCAAAGTAGAAAAAACGATCCCAAACAATTTGTCCATTAAAACTGTTGATGACTCTGGGAGTGTGAGTTGCTATAGAAGGGAAGCATTGAACAGAGAGGATCTACATTTGTTACACATGTTAGTAGTTCCCAATATGTAAGAACAGCTGGAGAGTTATATCCCGTTGAAAACATTCGCAATTCACGGTTGTTCTCAAGGAAAATGTGTAGGGTATAAATTATTAAGGAAAATATTTAGGTCATACATTGGGATCGAACTCACATCCCTGGACTGCCAAGGCACTCGCATTCCCGACTCAACAGGAAGAAATATACGCTTTTCAATCAGAAGTTTCAGCACACTAAGCTGGAGTCTGCATGGCGTCTGCTGGCTCTTAAGTACATCACCGCTTGCTCCCGTGGGGCGAGGTTCACACGGGGCGAGGTTCACACGGGGCGAGGTTCACACGGGGCGAGGTTCACACGGGGCGAGGTTCACACGGGGCGAGGTTCACACGGGGCGAGGCTCACACGGGGCGAGGTTCACACGGGGCGAGGCTCACACGGGGCGAGGTTCACACGGGACGAGGCTCACACGGGGCGAGGCTCACACGGGGCGAGGTTCACACGGGGCGAGGCTCACACGGGGCGAGGTTCACACGGGGCGAGGCTCACACGGGGCGAGGTTCACACGGGGCGAGGTTCACACGGGGCAAGGCTCACACGGGACGAGGCTCACACGGGGCGAGGTTCACACGGGACGAGGCTCACACGGGGCGAGGTTCACACGGGGCGAGGCTCACACGGGGCGAGGCTCACACGGGGCGAGGTTCACACGGGGCGAGGCTCACACGGGACGAGGCTCACACGGGGCGAGGCTCACACGGGGCGAGGTTCACACGGGGCGAGGCTCACACGGGGCGAGGTTCACACGGGGCGAGGCTCACACGGGGCGAGGTTCACACGGGGCGAGGTTCACACGGGGCGAGGTTCACACGGGGCGAGGCTCACACGGGGCGAGGTTCACACGGGGCGAGGCTCACACGGGGCGAGGTTCACACGGGGCAAGGCTCACACGGGACGAGGCTCACACGGGGCGAGGCTCACACGGGGCGAGGTTCACACGGGGCGAGGCTCACACGGGGCGAGGTTCACACGGGGCGAGGCTCACACGGGGCGAGGTTCACACGGGGCGAGGTTCACACGGGGCGAGGTTCACACGGGGCGAGGCTCACACGGGGCGAGGTTCACACGGGGCGAGGCTCACACGGGGCGAGGTTCACACGGGGCGAGGCTCACACGGGGCGAGGCTTCACACGGGGCGAGGCTCACACGGGGCGAGGTTCACACGGGGCGAGGTTCACACGGGGCGAGGTTCACACGGGGCGAGGCTCACACGGGGCGAGGTTCACACGGGGGCGAGGTTCACACGGGGCGAGGTTCACACGGGGCGAGGGCTCACACGGGGCGAGGCTCACACGGGGCGAGGCTCACACGGGGCGAGGTTCACACGGGGCGAGGTTCACACGGGGCGAGGTTCACACGGGGCGAGGCTCACATGATGGTAATGGTCGGTTAGCAGAGTCTGTGAGAAGCGAGCGCCGCCTCATAACACAGGTGGCCACTAGAGCACACAACAGCTTCAGCAGTTAACTGGTTTAGATCAGCCGAGGGAAAGATTACTACGAGCACCACAATAACTTACTGGCCAGCCACGAGGAACACATTAGTCTCTTAACATGATCACAATATAGTATTACGTGCACATGTTGGTCACCAACTGGAGCTCAACTGTGTCGTATGCTGAGCACATTATTGTATCATTGCTTTCAATTTCGTAATTATTATTACTGTTTTAAGTAATACTTGTAGCTAATTTTTGTTGCTATAGCTACTGTTATTGCTACTACTATAACTTATATCAGTTATAGTAACTTAATTTTTACTAAAATAATAATAATAATAATAATAATAATAATAATAATAATAATAATAATAATAATAATAATAACTATGATGCTAACTACATTAAAACTGCTGTAACATGAAACAATATATATTTCGATACTCATTTAATCAGCCAACAAAACTAAAAAAAAACGAACAATAATAAAAAGTGAGATATTAATGTTGAATCGCGAGAGGAAAAAGCAATGTTCAGATGTAGACTCAAATGAAAGACCATAATCCTAGTTTTACACCGACATAATTCCCGATTAATCGTAGTGTCGGGTATCAGGAGAGAGAGATCAAAGCGTCTCACAAAACCCGGTTATATAGGCCAGGGGCCAGATTCACGAAAGCACTTACGAACCTGTACATCTTTTCTCAATCTTTGGCGGCTTTGTTTACAATTATTAAACAGTTAATGAGCTCCGAAGCACCAGGAGGCTGTTTATAACAATAACAACAGTTGATTGGCAAGTTTTTATGCTTGTAAACTGTTTAATAAATGTAACCAAAGCCGTCAAAGATTGAGGAAAGATGTACACGTTCGTAAGTGCTTGCGTAAGTGCTTTCGTGAATCTGGCCCCAGTCCCGGCTGTCGGTGAAGGCCCGTGTGAACCCATTTTCTGTGATCGCCCACAGACACTACTGATCTATTTTAGTTTCAACCTCCGTTTTTGGTTTAATTGCTGGATTCTTTTCAGATTATTGTAGTATAACCGTTGTGTAACGATCGTTCTGGAAGGGGTTATGTTATATGCAATTCTGTTTCTATTCGTTTTTCACAATATAGTACAAAGAGACATTTTCTCATAAGAAAGTTCACACTCCAAAACGTCTCTCTAAGGTATACCCCAATGTCAAGAAAACGGTTGATTTAAAGTATTCTTTCCTAACCTACCAGAGGACCCAACACAGAAAACGGGATAATACGTCGCTTTCGCGACCACTTCCATTTTCTAGAACGACAATTTTTGGCCTTGTGTAACGCCTACGATCGAAATGCGACGTTCTTTGTAAGAGGACAGGTTGCCCACTCCACCGTTTCTTCTTGTCTCTGTCTAGATCCCGTTCTACAGCCAACATTTCCCTTATCCTGTTTTCTGTTTCCTCAAACCATAATCGATTCCAGCTTCCCGTTTTCTGTGGTCGACCAGCGATTTAATCAGTTTAACCGTCCAATCTGAAGTTGATATTTGGGACCAGATGACGCTGGAACCTTTGATCTTTGGAGGTAATCGTTCCACGGTTCCTTTTCATGGATCGTATTTCTCCAAATCGGTTCCTCGCATCAGAGTTTCCGTATATGTGTATACCAAAGTTGCCGGATTAATATGTTAAAATATATATATATATATATATATATATATATATATATATATATATATATAATAATAATAATAATCATAATTTTGAGGCATTAGAGTGACTTAAACTCGCGTTCTGGTGATTCTCAGACAACTGCCTTAACCGACTCGGCTACGATGGTACAAAAGTCGACCAACCCGGAACTTTACTGAATTCGCTGGGAGGTTCTGGAGGCCCCGAACTGGAGCCCAACCAGGGCTTTACCCGGGGTGGTCAACTTGTGTGTGTGTGTGTGTGTGTGTGTGTTTTATTGAATATGACGGACGAATCTTTTGTTTGTTATGCTCTTCATTTGGGAAGGAAGTTGACAAATTTACAAGTAGAAGGTTGCAGGAGCCACCGTGAAGACAGAGAGCAGCTTCACACACTTAGACAGGCGACCAACACTTCCCTTTACCCTCTTGTCCCCCTCAAACATCGCCAACCTCAACTCTCCTCCACCGTGTCCATTCTCCTCTTGCCTCCTCCTCCAACTGCTTCCTCTTCCACATCCTCCTGCTCCACCATCTCCCTCCTTCATCGCCTCAATCATCCCACGGCTATACTCCCTTCCCGTCGCGTCTCCCGGCTCTTCCTCCAGCTTTTAAAAGAGACTTGCCATTGAGGCCTTGATCAGACTGTCTGAAGCGCCCTGCCATCAGGAGGTTTCCGGGTCAGCGAGCTATAATGATCAGTCGTGTCACAGCCGCCTCACAACCCTCCGTGGGACCTGCTACTTCACAACACCAGACGAGGTCGGGTGATGAGGGAGACACAGAGAGAATGATTGAGAAGGCGATGAATATGTTTGTATCAGCAAACACAATGATCATACCACAGGTGTGTACGGTTAATGAATTTCTTTACCTGTAGGAATCTCAAACATCTTAATGAGTGAATGATATGCAAAGGAGAATATTATTTATCACTGTCTTGTACCAACACCCAGCTCCTCTGGGAAGTCTTGTACCAACACCCAGCTCCTCTGGGAAGTCTTGTACCAACACCCAGCTCCTCTGGGAAGTCTTGTACCAACACTCAGCTCCTCTGGGAAGTCTTGTACCACACACCCAGCTCTTCTTCTGGGAGTCTTGTACACCACACCCAGCACCTTTGGGAAGTCCTTGTACCAACACCCAGCTCCTCTGGGAAGTCTTGTACCAACACTCAGCTCTGGGAAGTCTGGTACCAACACTCAGCTCCTCTGGGAAGTCTTTGTACCAACACTCAGCTCCACTGGGAAGTCTTGTACCCACACCCCAGCTCCTCTGGGAAGTCTTGTACCAACACTCAGCTCCTCTGGGAAGTCTGTTACCAACACTCAGCTCCTCTGGGAAGTCTTGTACCAACACCCAGCTCCTCTGGGAAGTCTTGTACCAACACCCAGCTCCTCTGGGAAGTCTTGTACCAACACCCAGCTCCTCTGGGAAGTCTTGTACCAACACTCAGCTCCTCTGGGAGTCTTGTACCAACACCTCAGCTCCTCTGGGAAGTCTTGTACCAACACTCAGCTCCTCTGGGAATCTTGTACCAACACCCAGCTCCTCTGGGAAGTCTTGTACCAACACTCAGCTCCTCTGGGAAGTCTTGTACCAACACTCAGCTCCTCTGGGAAGTCTTGTACCAACACCCAGCTCCTCTGGGAAGTCTTGTACCAACACTCAGCTCCTCTGGGAAGTCTTGTACCAACACTCAGCTCCTCTGGGAAGTCTTGTACCAACACTCAGCTCCTCTGGGAAGTCTTGTACCAACACCCAGCTCCTCTGGGAAGTCTTGTACCAACACTCAGCTCCCTCTGGGAAGTCTTGTACCAACACTCAGCTCCTCTTGGAAGTCTTGTACCAACACTCAGCTCCTTTGGGAAGTCTTGTACCAACACTCAGCTCCTCTGGGAAGTCTTGTACCAACACTCAGCTCCTCTGGGAAGTCTTGTACCAACACTCAGCTCCTCTGGGAAGTCTTGTACCAAACACCCCAGCTCCTCTGGGAAGTCTTGTACCAACACCCAGCTCCTCTGGGAAGTCTTGTACCACCACTCAGCTCCTCTGGGAGTCTTGTACCAACACCCAGCTCCTCTGGGAAGTCTTGTACCAACACACCAGCTCCTCTGGGAAGTCTTGTACCAACACTCAGCTCCTCTGGGGAGTCTTGTACCAACACCCAGCTCCTCTGGGAAGTTCTTGTACCAACACCCAGCTCCTCTGGGAAGTCTTGTACCAACACTCAGCTCCTCTGGGAAGTCTTGTACCAACCCCCAGCTACTCTGGGAAGTCTTGTACCAACACCCAGCTCCTCTGGGAAGTCTTGTACCAACAACCAGCTCCTCTGGGAAGTCTTGTACCAACACCCAGCTCCTCTGGGAAGTCTTGTACCAACACCCAGGCTCCTCTGGGAAGTCTTGTACCAACACTCAGCTCCTCTGGGAAGTCTTGTACCAACACTCAGCTCCTCTGGGAAGTCTTGTACCAAACACTCAGCTCCTCTGGTGAAGTCTTGTACCAACACCCAGCTCCTCTGGGAAGTCTTGTACCAACACCCAGCTCCTCTGGGAAGTCTTGTACCAACACCCAGCTCCTCTGGGAAGTCTTGTACCAACACTCAGCTCCTCTGGGAAGTCTTGTACCAACACCCAGCTACTCTGGGAAGTCTTGAACCAACACCCAGCTCCTCTGGGAAGATATGTGAGCAACATATGTGAGAACATATGCAACATATGTGAGAACTCACGACCATAGTTTACATAGGCTTTAGAAAGGTCTTCCTTTAAATTCATTTTTACCTTTGTTTCCAATTAAAACGAATGAGGGTAGAACACCTGAGGTAGGTTGAACAGGGATGAGCTAGTGTGATGATGAGTTAGTGAGAAATGCTAGGGTGAACAATGATGGGTAAGGGTAATGTAAAGGTCAATAATAATTAACAAACCCGAACACTGGCCAACCAGACAGCATAGGACAGGGTGAACCAGGGTTAATGAACATGAACATGACTGAACATAAAGATATTCAAGGATGAACAAGGGTCACACAAGGGTGGAAAATAATAAATAAGGTTCACACACAATAATGTAAAAGTGGAACACACGGATGAAAATTGAACCCCATAGGCTCACTAATCTGTACACAGGTTGATTGACAGTTGAGAGGCGGGACCCAAGAGCCAGAGCTCAACTCGACACTCACTCACCCCATGACAACACATCAACAAGACACTACAGTACACACTCACCTGGCCCCACGGTCACCACTCTGGGACACGAATAAGCATTTTCAATTTCCAAACATTTTCACTAAGCAGTTACCAGAGATTGAAGACATAGCTGGCGGCCATGATGTATCAGGGCTTCAAGGGGCAGCGATGGCCCCCATTCCTTCTCCATTATTTACACAGTCATTATTTTATCCACGTAATTTATTATTCGCATTCTTATATAATGTTTTGTATGTGTCCAATTGTCCAATTGTCCAAAGGGGTTTTCTGCTGATAATTACCTGTTTCGTTAATATATATATATATATATATATATATATATATATATATATATAATTATATATATAATATATATATATATATATATATATATATAATATATATATATATATATTGTGTATACTGGCAGCAGGTTTTCTTTCAAACATGTTTCATTGAATATGACCGCATATTCTGTATTTATTATTTTCTGGTTTAGGGCTTCTATCCCTCTAACTATTTTCTTAGCATCAGGGCTTAATTGAAATAGGAGTTCTCCAAAACTCATTTTCGTACTTTAAAGTGAAGAAAAGAAGTGATTTACTATAGAGTGTATTACGCTTATTTGTATAATTTGCACGACGTTTCGAACCTCCATGGTTCATTCTCAAGTGAACAGATCTTACAATACTAGTTGATTTTATACCCGCATTAGGTCAGGTGATAATACAATGAAGGTGAAAACATGGGGGGATACATAAGGGATAAACATAGGGGCTGCAGAAGGCTTATTGGCCCATACGAGGCATCTCCTATCTAAACACAAAGATTAATCCAGTGTAATTGGCCTGTTATGTTGGACATTGTCTTCTGTGTTGGCATCGATCGATGTTCTTGTCTGTCCTTACTCTCATGGTGGGTAGAGTAAATAGTTCCGTGATTTGGGTGTTCATGGTAGGTCGCTCTATTCTTATGTGAATTGCCTCAAGAATTTGTAATCTTCTTGAATCTTGGGTTTTGTCTATTATGCAAGTATTCTTGTTCAACATTTCTCTTGTTAGAGTAATGTCATGGGCTTGTCTCATGTGATTCCTAGGGGCACCAGATTGAAGATGGCATGTCAAACGCCTCGTCAGCTTGGTCGACGTCATACCTATGTACTTACATTGAAGGTTACATCCTTCGTGGGGGCAAGTGTACATGTATACAACGCTTGACTGCTGTAGAGGGTTCTCCGTCGGCTTCGGGCTGTTTTTGATAAGGAGTTCGGAAGTCTTCTTGGTTTTGTAGAATATTATCAGTTTATGTTTTGGTTAGGAGTAGTGCTTTTTACTCCTTTACGGATTATTTCTTTCATTATTCTTTCCTCTTTATATGTTCACTGTGCATGGTTGATTTGTAATATAATTTTATTGGGGGTGTTGTGGTTTCTGTTCTAGGTTCTGAATTATACCAACGGTCCAAGTGTCTTCTTATAGCAGCGTTTATTTCCGCGTTGCTATATCCGTTGTTCACCAATACCTGAGTTACTCTTTCAAACTCTCTACTCACGTTGCTCCATTCAGAGCAGTGGGTAAGCGCTCGAACGAATATATATCATTGAGAACCCTGGCTTTGTATCTTTGGGGGCACTCACTTCTGCCGTTCAGGCATAATCCTATGTTGGTGGCCTTGGTATATACGTTGGTGCTTAAAGAGGTCCCTGTTTTTGTTATTAGTACATCCAAGAATGGCAGACTGTTATTTTCACACTATTTTCATGTGTAAATCGGAGTACTGACTCTCCTCTCCTAGGTGTCTTTTTAGGTCAATTAGTTCATCTGAGTCTTTTACTATTACGAATATAGTCATCTCTACATAACGGCAGTATACAGTTGGTTTTTGTCTGCTACTGAAGACCCTATCTTCGATGGTTCCCATATAAAAATTAGCAAATAAAACTCCTAAGGGGGAGCCCATTGCTACTCCGTCTATTTTGTAAATACATGTCTCCTTGTGGACTGATGAAAGGGGCTTCCTTTGAAATATATATATATATATAATATATATATATAATATATATATATATATAATATATATATATATAGATCTATATATATATATATATATATATGTCGTACCTAGTAGCCAGAACTCACTTTTTTGGCCTACTATGCAAGGCCCGATTTGCCTAATAAGCCAATTTTTCCTGAATTAATATACCTTTTCTATTTTTTTTCTTAATGAATTGAGAAAGCTACCCATTTCATTATGTATGAGTCATTTTTTTTTTATTGGAGTTAAAATTAACGTAGATATATGACCGAACCTAACCACCCCTAACCTAACCTAACCTAACCTATCTTTATAGGTTAGGTTTGGTTAGGAAGCCGAAAAAGTTAGGTTAGGGTAGGTTAGGTAGTCGAAAAACAATTAATTCATGAAAACTTGAAACTTCATGAAAATTCATGAAACTACACATAGCCATACAAAATGTCTCTGAAATCAATAACACTTTAAACCATCTAATTTGTCATCATTTATCACACTTACGAACGTATGATCCATTAAATTGTTAATGAAACATTGTCTGGGTATTTCTGGGGGGGGGCGTGGCGCCCGTCTCAGGAGGAGCGTCGGCCTAATGAGCTCTCCATCATATGGGCAGTTCATCAGGTAATCAGTGACGTCACGAGGCAGTTAATTGGCCAAGCGTGTCTGCCGACCAATCAACGGCCGCCATTTGAGCTAACGTATGACGCAGTAAACATAATGGCTAATCATAAATACTTTTTTTTTTTTTAGAAAATCTAAATTTGACACTTGATTATTGAACACACACACACACACACACACACACACACACACACACACACACACACACACACACACACACACAGGCTGTGGCTGAGTGGACAGCGCTTGGAACTCATAATCCTAGGGTCCGGGTTCGATCACCGACGATGGTGTAAAACAAAGGGCACAGTTTCTTTCGCCCTGATGCTCCTGTTACCTAACAGTAAATAGGTACCTGGAAGTTAGACAGCTGTTACGGGTTACTTCCTGTGTGTGTGTGTAGTCACCTATTTGTGCTTGCGGGGGTTGAGCTCTGGTTCTTTGGTCCCGCCTCTCACTGTCAATCAACTGGTGTACAGGTTCCTGAGCCTATTGGGCTCTATCATATCTACACTTGAAACTGTGTATGGAGTCAGCCTCCACCACATCA